AAGGAACATGGAACTTGGAACATAGAACATGGAGCATGGAACATGGAACATAGAACATGGAACATGGAACATAGATATTGGAACATAGAACATGGAACCTGGAACATGGAACATAGAACATAAGAACATGGAACATAGGGCATGGAACATGGAACATGGAACATGGAACAAGGACCATTGAACATGGAACATGGAACATGGAACATTGACCATGGAACATGGAACATGGAACATGGAACATGGAACATGGAACATGGAACATGGAACATGGAACATGGAACAAGGAACATGGAACATGGAACATGGAACATGGGACATGGAACATGGAACATGGAACATGGAACATGCAACATGGAATATGGAACATGGACCATTGAACATGAAACATGGAACACGGAACATGGAACATGGAACATGGAACATGGAACATTGAACATAAAACATGGAACATGGAACATAGAGCATGGAACATAGAACATGGAACATAGAACATAGAGCATTGACCATAGGACATGGAACATGGAACATGGAACATGGAACATGGAACATGGAACAAGAAACACGGAACAGAGAACAAGGAGAAAGAGCATTGACCAATATGGAACATGGAACAAGGAACATGGAACATGAAACAAGAAACATGGAACATAGAAATTGGAACATGGAACATAGAGCATGGAACATGGAACATGGAACAAGGAACACAGAACATGGAACAAGGAACATGGAACATGGAACAAGGAACATGGAACTTGGAACATAGAACATGGAGCATGGAACATGGAACATAGAACATGGAACATGGAACATAGATATTGGAACATAGAACATGGAACCTGGAACATGGAACATAGAACATAAGAACATGGAACATAGAGCATGGAACATGGAACATGGAACAAGGAACACAGAACATGGAAAAAGGAACATGGAACATGGAACAAGGAACATGGAACTTGGAACATGGAACAAAGAACAGGGAACACAGAGCATGGAACATAGGACATGGAACATGGAAAATGGAACATGGAACATGGAACATTGACCATGGAGCATGGAACATGGACCATGGAACATGGAACATGGAACATAGAACATGGAACATAGAACATAGAACATGGAACATGGAACATGGAACATGGAACATGGAACATGGAACATGGAACATGAAACAAGGAACATGGAACATAGAAATTGGAACATGGAACATAGAGCATGGAACATAGAGCATGGAACATGGAACATGGAACAAGGAACACAGAACATGGAACAAGGAACATGGAACACGGAACAAGGAACATGGAACTTGGAACATAGAACATGGAGCATGGAACATGGAACATAGAACATGGAACATGGAACATAGATATTGGAACATAGAACATGGAACCTGGAACATGGAACATAGAACATAAGAACATGGAAAATAGAGCATGGAACATGGAACATGGAACAAGGAACACAGAACATGGAACAAGGAACATGGAACAAGGAACATGGAACTTGGAACATGGAACAAAGAACAGGGAACATAGAGCATGGAACATAGGACATGGAACATGGAACATGGAACATGGAACATGGAACATTGACCATGGAGCATGGAACATGGACCATGGAACATGGAACATTGAACATGGAACATGGAACATGGAACATGGAACATGGACCATGGACCATAGAACATGGAACATGTAACATGGAACATGGAACATAGAACATGGAACATGGAACATGGAACATGGAACATGGAACATGGAACATGGAACATGGAACATTGAACATGGAACATGGAACATGGAACATGGAACATAGAGCATGGAACATAGAACATGGAACATAGAACATAGACCATTGACCATAGGACATGGAACATGGAACATGGAACATGGAACGTGGAACATGGAACATGGAACAAGAAACACAGAACTTGGAACAAGGAACATAGAGCATTGACCATGGAACATGGAACAAGGAACATGGAACAAGGAACATGGAACATGGAACATGGAACATGGATCAAGGAACATGGAACATAAAACATGAAACATGGAACAAAGAACATGGAACATGGAACATGGAACATTGAACATGGAAAATGGAACATGGAACATAGAGCATGGAACATAGAACATAGAGCATTGACCATAGGACATGAAACATGGAACATGGAACATTGAACATGGAACATGGAACATAAAACATGAAACTTGGAACAAAGAACAGGGAACATAGAACATAGAGCATGGAACATAGGACATGGAACATGGAACATGGAACATGGAACATGGAACATTGACCATGGAACATGGAACATGGATCATGGACCATGGAACATGGAACATGGACCATGGAACATAGAAAATGGACCATGGAACATGGAACATGGAACATGGACCATGGAACATGAAACATGGACCATGGAACATGGAACATGGAACATGGAACATGGAACATGAAACATGGAACTTGGAACATGGAACATGCAACATGGAACATGGAACATGGACCATAGATCATGGAACATGGAACATGGAACATGGAACATGAAACATTGAACATGGAACATGGAACATAGAGCATGGAACATAGAACATGGAACATAGAACATAGAGCATTGACCATGGAACATAAAAAATGGAACATGGAACATGGAACATGGAACAAGGAACATGCAACCTGGAACATGGAACAAGGACCATTGAACATGGAACATGGAACATGGAACATTGACCATGGAACATGGAACATGGAACATGGAACATAGAACATGGAACATGGAACATGAAACATGGAACATGGAACATGGAACATGGAACAAGAAACATGGAACATTGAACATGGAACATAGAGCATGGAACATGGAACACGGAACAAGGTACATAGAAAATGGAACAAGGAACATGGAACATGGAACAAGGAACATGGAACATAGAACATGGAACATGGAACATAGAGATTGGAACATGGAACGTGGAACAAGGAACACAGAACATGGAACAAGGAACATGGAACAAGGAACAAGGTACACAGAAAATGGAACAAGGAACATAGAACATGGAGCATGGAACATGGAACATAGAACATGGAACATGGAACATAGAGATTGGAACATGGAACGTGGAACAAGGAACACAGAACATGGAACAAGGAACATGGAACATGGAACAAGGAACATGGAACTTGGAACATAGAACATGGAGCATGGAACATGGAACATAGAACATGGAACATGGAACATAGAGATTGGAACATAGAACATGGAACCTGGAACATGGAACATGGAACATAGAGCATGGAACATAGAACATGGAACATGGAACATCGAACATGGAACATGGAACAAGGAACAAGGAACATGGAACATGGAACATGGAACATGGAACATGGAACATGGAACATGGAAAATGGAACTTGGAACATGGACCATTGAACATGGAACATGGAACATGGAACATTGACCATGGAACATGGAACATGGAACATTGACCATGAAACATGGAACTAAACATGGACCATGGAACATGGAACATGGACCATGGAACATGGAGCATGGACCATGGAACATGGAACATGGAACATGGAACATTAAACATGGACCATGGAACATGGAACATGGAACATGGAACATGGAACATGGACCATGGAACATGGAACATGGAACATGGAACATGGAACATGGAACATGGAACATGCAACATGGAACATGCAACATGGAACATGGACCATGGAACATGGAACATGGAACATGGAACATGGAACATGGAACATGGAACATGGAACATGGAACATGGAACATGGAACATGGAACATGGAACATGGAACATGGAACATGGAACATGGAACATGGAACATGGAACATGGAACATGGAACATGGAACATGGAACATGGAACATGGAACATGGAACATGGAACATGGAACAAGGAACATGGAACATAGAGCATGGAACATGGAACATAGAACATGGAACATGGAACATGAAACATGGAACATGGACCATGGAACATGGAACAAGGAACATAGAACATGGAACATGGAACATAGAGCATGGAACATGGAACATGGAACAAGGAACACAGAACATGGAACAAGGAACATGGAACATGGAACAAGGAACATGGAACTTGGAACATAGAACATGGAGCATGGAACATGGAACATAGAACATGGAACATGGAACATGGAACATAGAATAGGAACATGGAACATGAAACATGGAACATGGAACATGGAACATGGAACAAGGAACATGGAACATAGAACATGGAACATGGAACATAGAGCATGGAACATGGAACATCGAACATTGAACATAGAACGTGCAACAAGGAACATAGAACATGGAACAAGGAACATGGAACATAGAGCATGGAACATAGAGCATGGAACATGGAACATGGAACAAGGAACACAGAACATGGAACAAGGAACATGGAACACGGAACAAGGAACATGGAACTTGGAACATAGAACATGGAACACAGAACATGGAACAAGGAACATGGAACACGGAACAAGGAACATGGAACTTGGAACATAGAACATGGAGCATGGAACATGGAACATGGACCATGGAACATGGAACATGGAACATGCAACATGGAATATGGAACATGGACCATTGAACATGAAACATGGAACATGGAACATAGAGCATGGAACATAGAACATGGAACATAGAACATAGAGCATTGACCATAGGACATGGAACACGGAACATGGAACATGGAACATGGAACATGGAACATGGAACAGTGGGGATGGGAAGAGTGGGGATGACCAGTGCATGACACGCTAGCAAATCGGCTCCGTTAATTAACTCATTTTTACTGGTAAATTTTAATCGGTAAACTACAATATTTATCTGCTGAGTGTAATTAAGAACTGTGTTTACCGTTATCGTAAGTGTTGGGCATAAAGTGCAGTGAGTTCTTCGTAATATTGAAGAATTTTTGGCCGGGGTCGATCAGTGTGTGGTCGTTATCAGTGAACGCCATTATGACTGAGGGAGTCAAGATAACGACGCGTGGCACTGCCAAACTTAATAAAGGTGAGCTTGAATCAACGTCGCCATCACTTCAATCTATAGACACTAAACTTAATAGTATTTTACAAATTCTTGAGAAGAATTCTAATGACATCGTCGAAATTAAAAAAGAACAAAAAGACATGTGTGAATCTATTGAGTTATGCCATGCAACCATCAATGACTTTAAACAATTAATATCTACTCAAGATTTGAAGATAAGAGAGTGTGAAAACGAGGTACAGAAGACTAAGAAGGACACTTATAAATTCGGGAAATCGGTTGAGAAAGTGCAACGTGAAGTTCGTGATCTTGAACAGTATTCACATAGAAACAATTTAATTATTTACGGTATCCCGGAGGACAACGATGAAAAAATTATGTTCGTTATAAGACGGTTAGCAACTGCTCTACACTTCCAAGATTGGTCGGAGAAATTAGTTGATGCTGTACATAGAATGGGGAAGTATGATCCTACGAATACATCGCCGAGGCCTATCATCATTCGCTTCGTCAGACGTCTGGACAAGGACGCTTTTTTAAATAAACGTAAAGAACGCCGCAATCTTAAAGCTTCGGACCTTGGCTTCAGCAGCGAAGACTCGATCTACGTCAACGAGTCATTGACGCCAGAGAACAGGGACCTGCTGAAGAAGACGCGTGATGCGGCGAAGGCCAAGGGCTACAGCCAGGTGTGGACGGCGAACTGCAGCATCTTCGTGCGACGAAATAAGGACACTGATGCTATCAAGATTAGGTCAGACGTGGATATTGACAGCATGTAAAACAATGACTGTAATTGTAAGTAATCAAATGCTTAATTTATATTTTAATAATCTATTTCATAATTTATTTACATCAAATTTATATACAATGCACGTTAAACTTCTTTATGAGCATTTAATTAAATTATTTTTGCATGAATACAATTCTGTTTGTCTATTTATACATGCTATTCTTCGACTTCTTAAATGTTATGTTTTATTTATTATTTATATTTCTATTTATTGCTGTATTTATAGTCCATAAAAAAAAAAAAAAAAAAATAGGAATTTTCTCTATGTTATTTATGTTTTTATTAAAACTTATTAATGGTAAATAATGATTTTGATAATATAGTTTACTACCAAAATGTCAGAGGTCTGAGAACAAAATCAAAAATTTTTTTTAGTAACATCTTAACAAGCGATTACAAAATTGTGTCTCTAACAGAAACAAACCTACAACCTGGTATTAATTCATCGGAATTTTTTCCTGATAGTTTTAATGTATTTAGATGTGACAGAAATTTAGAAACTTCAGGCCGACAGGGAGGAGGGGGAGTATTGTTAGCCTTAAGAAATGATATATTGTGTAACGTAGTCGACATTTTTAATGATTCAATTCCTGGTTGTGAAAGTGTTTGTGTAAAAGTTGTAAATAGCAAGGGGAGAGGATTGTATATTTGTACTGTTTATTTCAGGCCAAGGTCACCGTTAGTAGCATACCAAAGATTTTTTGATTGTTTTTTACAGTTAAATTCATTATCGAACTGTGATATTATTGTATTAGGTGATTTTAATATTTCAATCTATGGTCAGGACTTTTGCTTGGATCAAGGTGACAATATATGTAAAGAATTATTTATTTTTTTGAATTTGCATGGTTTAAGTTTAAAGAATGATATTCGTAACTTTCAAAATAAGACATTGGATTTAGTCATATCAAATTGTGAGGAAGTAGTGGTGACGAGAAGCGGTGAACAATTAGTTAGTGAAGATCTTTATCATCCGGCTTTGGAGGTAATTGTTGTGTTGGCTACTCCGTTATCTGGTCGTTCAAGGTCAACCCAGTCAGCTGGTTATTGTTTCAGACGAGCCAATTTTCTACAAATATACGAAGATTTACAACAGGCTGACTGGTCAAATTTATATTCTATTTTGAACGTCGATGATGCTCTAGATTGTTTTTATAGCACACTTTATGAAATAATTGATAAAAACTGTCCATTAAAGAAAAATAAAAAAGCAAAATATCCCTTTTGGTTTACTCCTTCTATTATTTACAATTTAAAACGTAAAGAAAAACTTAGAAGAAGGTGGAAAAAAGTAAACACTGATGAAGCTTATAACTTATTTAAAGTCCAGAGAACAGCAGTAAAAAATGAAATTGATCTAGCATATCGCAATTATGTAAATGGAGTGGAAGATAGTATAAATGTTGATAGCAGTAAGTTTTGGAATTTTATTCAAAGTAAAAAATCTGAACGAAATAAAATTATGATAATGGAGCACAATGGAGTAAGACTGGATAACGGAGGAGCGGTTGTAAATGCATTCGCGGAATATTTTAGTTCTGTGTACGAGAGTTACACTACAGAGCCTAGTGTGGAGTGCGCGGTGGAGGGGCCGTGTCTGACCGGCGCGTCTTGCCTCACACTGCCTCGCCTCAGCTGTCAGGATGTGCAGGACGCCATCAAACATTTAAAATCAAAATGCACTACTGGTCCAGATTTACTCCCACAATATTTATTTAAAGGTTGTTCTGAATTTTTAGTTGGGCCTTTAGAATTTTTATACTATTTAAGCTTGAAAACTAATATATTTCCCGAAAGATGGAAAACAACCAAAGTAACTCCAATTTTTAAGAGTGGAAAAAAATCCAAAGTCTTAAATTATAGACCGGTAGCAGTGTTATCTGTACCGGCGAAGATATTTGAGATTATTATTCACAAATATTTATTCAGACATTTTCAAAAATACATTTCAAATGACCAGCATGGGTTTGTCCCAGGAAGATCAGTTAACACAAATTTATTAAATTTTACTAGTTACGTTTCCTCTGGTCTGGATTCTGGGGCTCAGACAGACACGTTATTTCTTGATCTGGCCAAAGCGTTTGATAAGGTTGACCATTCAATTTTGTTGCAGAAACTGCATTGGTATGGCATGTCAAATGATTTATTGCATTTTTTCAAATCTTACATTGTTAATAGGAAACAATTTGTTTTCTATCATGGATTTTCCTCTGCTGTATTCAATGTCCAATCTGGGGTTCCCCAGGGTTCGAATCTAGGGCCTTGTCTTTTTACAATACTAATTAATGATCTAAGTGACTGTATTTTAAATTCAAATTCACTTCTATTTGCCGATGATTTAAAAATGTTTAAGCATATCAATAGTCTTGATGATGCAAATAGCTTACAAGAAGATCTTGACAATGTTTATAGGTGGAGTGTTTCAAACAAAATGACTTTTAATGTTTCTAAATGTCAACTAATGACTTTTACTAGGACTACAAATTTTTTACGAAATAACTATTTTTTAAATGGCATTTTAATTAGTAGAGTAAACAAAATTAAAGATTTAGGTGTTCACATGAATTCTGCACTATCTTTTAATTTTCATATTGAAACATGCATTGCTGCTGCAAGTAAAATGTTGGGGTTTATAATTAGACAAAGTACAAATTTTAGAAACATTGAAACATTAATTATGCTTTATCATTCGCTGGTCAGATCAAGATTAGAAACCTGTTCCATAATTTGGAATCCATATCATTTACAGTTTAAAGATGCTTTAGAGAAAGTCCAGAAAAAGTTTTTAAGATTCTTATTTTACAAATGTTTTAATATTTATACGTACGATGTTCCATACCATGATTTATTACAACTGTTTGGGCTGCAGAGTCTAGATCTGAGGAGAACGATCATAGGTCAGGTGTTCCTGTACAAACTGGCGCGTGGAGAGGTTGACGACGCTGCTAGCCTGGCTGGTCTGTCTTATCGCGTACCTTGCTTCAATAGTAGAAACAAACATCTCTTCTCGTTGCCCTACAGTCGCACCACTGCCATGCCTCCTCCCCCCTCTATCGATTAATGAAAGACTACAATTACGTAATAAAAAAGTGCAATAATATTGATATTTTCTCTGACAACATAAACAATTTCAAATTGAAATTAAAAACAGTATTAATCAATCAGTAAATGTTAATTTATATATTTTTCGTTGTTCTATTATTTTTACACTCAGTATTTATATATTTATATAATTTATCATTGTTAATCTTTTTTAAATATATATACATTGTTGTTATAGTTATTGATAATTTTGTTTTTATGTTAGTATTAAATGCATGGCATGAAAGTGTAAGTAAAAATGAAGTGAAAAGACAAGAAGAAACCCACTGAAGCAATAATATTATAAGTGCATGAACTGCTTCAATGTAAATGGTCTTTAAACTGTATTGAAGCATGTAAATAAAATAAAATAAAAAAAAAATAAAAATAAAAACATGGAACATAGAACATAGATATTGGAACATAGAACATGGAACCTGGAACATGGAACATGGAACAAGGAACATGGAACATGAAACATGGAACATGGACCATGGAACATGGAACATAGAGCATGGAACATGAAACATGGAACAAGGAACACAGAACATGGAACAAGGAACATGGAACATGGAACATGGAACATAGAGCATGGAACATGGAACATGGAACATGGAACAAGGACCATTGAACATGGAACATGGAACATGGAACATTGACCATGGAACATGGAACATGGAACATGGAACATGGAACATGGAACATGGAACATGGAACATGGAACATGGAACATGGAACATGGAACATGGAACATGGAACATGGAACATGGAACATGGAACATGGAACATGGAACAAGGAACATGGAACATGGGACATGGAACATGGAACATGGAACATGGAACATGGAACATGGAACATGGAACATGGAACATGGAACATGCAACATGGAATATGGAACATGGACCATTGAACATGAAACATGGAACACGGAACATGGAACATGGAACATGGAACATTGAACATAAAACATGGAACATGGAACATAGAGCATGGAACATAGAACATGGAACATAGAACATAGAGCATTGACCATAGGACATGGAACATGGAACATGGAACATGGAACATGGAACATGGAACATGGAACAAGAAACACGGAACATGGAACAAGAAAAACGGAACAGAGAACAAGTAGAAAGAGCATTGACCAATATGGAACATGGAACAAGGAACATGGAACATAGAACATGGAACATAGAACATAGAACATGGAACATGGAACATGGAACATGGAACATGGAACATGAAACAAGGAACATAGAACATAGAAATTGGAACATGGAACATAGAGCATGGAACATGGAACATGGAACATGGAACATGGAACATGGAACATGGAACAAGAAACACGGAACATAGAACAAGGAGAAAGAGCATTGACCAATATGGAACATGGAACAAGGAACATGGAACATGGAACAAGGAACATGGAACATAGAACATGGAACATAGAACATAGAACATGGAACATGGAACATGGAACATGGAACATGGAACATGGAACATGGAACATGGAACATGGAACATGAAACAAGAAACATGGAACCTAGAAATTGGAACATGGAACATAGAGCATGGAACATGGAACATGGAACAAGGAACACAGAACATGGAACAAGGAACATGGAACATGGAACAAGGAACATGGAACTTGGAACATAGAACATGGAGCATGGAACATGGAACATAGAACATGGAACATGGAACATAGATATTGGAACATAGAACATGGAACCTGGAACATGGAACATAGAACATAAGAACATGGAACATAGAGCATGGAACATGGAACATGGAACATGGAACAAGGACCATTGAACATGGAACATGGAACATGGAACATTGACCATGGAACATGGAACATGGAACATGGAACATGGAACATGGAACATGGAACATGGAACATG